TCTACTCATGGCGACGTCCCGGATATAGTTTGGATCCAATTGCCAAAGGAGACGACCCCAGTTTTCCCTTGCTGGCACGGGCAGCGGGATGTCTTGGACTATCACCGGACGCTCCACGAGCACGTCGCAGAGGAGGATGCCGCGCCAGAGGTCCACCCAGGCGACCGTGCCGCGCTCGCCTCCGAGCGTGATCGTCTTGGCCGTCTCGTGGTACCGCTTCTTGCAGACCGGGCTGTCCGGCAGTGGGACGAGCTTGTCCCTCACGAGCTCGTCCACTGACATGGGCATGGTGATCCAAGCCTCGGAGTCGCACGAATAGGAGCGGTATAGGTGGAGCTGGAATTCCCACCTGATAATGGGCGCGTCGCTGCTGCTCTCGGTCTCACTCTCATACACCGGGGACCAATTGCTGATGGCGGCGACGGCGTACCAGGCACCGCTATCGCGGCTGAGGAGGGCGGTTGCGGAGTCGTGGAAACTTCTGGGGTGCGGGTTGGGGAGCAGGTTCAGCTTATGGGCTCGCGGCCTGTATAAGAAGAAGTCCCACGACTTTACGTCGTCGGGCGCGTTGGGGTTGATGGGGATGCGGAGGAGCACGAGGTCCGCGTCGGTGGCAACGACCCGGGGCGCAGACCGGTGGAAGTCGAGGCCGGGACAGTGGACGCACAGGTAGGAGGGGAGCGGCGGTTGGGTGGCGTGGAAGGTCACCTGGATCGGCACGCGGCTGCTCGTGGCGCCCCAGGCGGTGGTGGCGTTGGGACGGTTGGTGATGTGGCACCGCAGTTCGAGGAGGAAGGCCTCGTTGTAGCCGTCGCACTCGGCAAGGGTAGACGGAATCATGGTGGCGGCGGCCATCGGGGAAGGAGGGGAGCTAGGAGAGGTCAGAGCTGGGATGGGCCGATGGAGAAGTGGAGTTTGGCCGCTATATACCCTCGCGGTTTTCTTTTTGAGATGATTTTGTGGGAAATCTAGTGCCACGTGAAAATACACGAATACTTTCTGGTAATGGTAACTAGCAAACGTTCATGAGGGAGAAACTGCCAGCGAACATCCTAACTGTCACATGATCTTGATCCTACGGTGCAGTTTGGATGACTTTTTTACACTCAAAATAAAAGAAATGTCGTGGCATTTTTACAAAAAACCTTCCAAGTTTTCAAAATACACAAAAACTGCCAGACGAACCTTCGCAAATGCCATGTCTTGTGACGAGCTTTCGCCAGATATGTCAGCTCATACTTTCATAGAGAGGAAATAAAATGAACTTTTAAGTGAAATGTTCTATATGGCCGATCAGCCGAGCTGCGTGTCGGTCTCTCTGGATGTCACCACACGGCAGTGGCCCCACACCCATCGCACCCTCCTGGATGTCTCGTAG